TTTGATAGGTCTTCTGCAGTTACTGATATATTCAGTTCATTTAATAATAATCTTGGTAATTCGTTTAAGTTATTATCGGGTGAAATAAGTGGAGGTAGGTCATATTCATTTAGGGATCTATTATGATGTTCTAAATAATGTTTTTCTAAAGAAGAACTGCATTGGTTCGGAGATAATTATTAGGTATTCCTTCTTTTGCAAAATCTTGTCATAGCTGCAAAGTTATTATTCCACAGAGACCGAGTATCACTTGGTTCTCCAAATACAGAAATAGTAATATAGTAGCAAATAATTGGCGTAGTGCGGAAGGCATTTGGAATTGAGCAGCTTCTTGCATAGTTTCATGGTACATTGTTTCCATTTCTATGAGATTCCGTTTCATTGCACTTTCTTTGAATGTTGAACATAAATAATTATTAACTAATTTTAAATCAGTAAACGATGTTGCTCCTTTGACATTGTTTAGAAGTATGCGTAAGTAGTATCGTTCTCCTTCATTTGGGTTGACAGTGTATATTCTTCCAATTACTTTGCCTTGACGGTGTTTTGTCTATTTTTTAGTTGATTTGTTCCAGACATAGTATTGTGGGAATTCACGATACGAATAATTGCGAGCTTGTGGGTCAGTTTCATTCATTTTAAAATATTCTGTTAACATGGTTTTTTTATTTTTTTCATCATTAAGTATGTCGGTTAGTTCGGAGGTTTCAGGATATGTTATATTATGTTTGTTAGGAAGATGAACTTGTAATCGTAATACTGAAGGGTCAATATTTGAAAGATTGAATCCAAAGATTCTCCAACATGCTTCGGAGGAGGAGATCCATTGGGAATCCAAGTATTGGTTAATTTCATCATGGTCAGTAATTTGTATAGCTGCACGATCATGACTTTTATATACATATTTATATAGGTACTTGATCGATTTAATACTTGAACACACTTCAACGTTAATATGGCAACTGTATTTAAAAGAAAGATAAGGATTGTACGGAACAACCCAGCGGTTATCTAATTCTGCATCTTTTACCAATATACGTTTTCCATTTTCACGTCGCCGATATAATGGATATGAATTATCATTTTCCCTCGTTTCTTCAATAAATTTTTTAGGATAATGTTTGGTACACTTATTTTCTTTCATGCATGGTGCTTTATTATTGAAGGAGCCACATGGCCCATGGATCATGAAGGAAGTAACAATTTGATATAATCTAGGTTGTTCTATGGGGTTAGGTATTTTGCGGATACAATGGCATCATAATCATCGGCTCCGCTAAGTTTGTCATCAGTATGAAATATTAACAGTAAATGTGCGTGGGGAAGACCACGTTTTTGGAATTCCACCACGTATATGTGAGCGATTACTTTGCCAAGAACATTTCTATTAAAAAGATCATTTTTCAATTCTTCTAATTTTGCTCGAAAAACGCGTGCTATTAAAGTTAAATTATATTATGGATCTCTTGCAGTATAGATGACCCTATTTATAATCAGTTAATTAATAATCTATATTAAAAGGGTCATTTATACTTTAAGAGATTCCATATTATTATTATTATTATTATTATTATTACAAAGAGATTTACAATGAGAAATAAACAAAATATTACTTGTTAGATCTGGTCTGTCTTGTGGCTTTTGTTCTGGCAAAAGTTCTGATGTAATTTCGGACCACCGTGGGTTACATGTGATAGTTATGAATAGGT